ACTTTTTGACACAGTGCCTATCCTGGCTTTGGACAGTGAGATTTCCATGGTAGCCAAAGAGGTAGGCAGTGAATCAGTGGGGCCAGCTGCACTACAGTAAGAAGGGGACTTGGAAGGACTGACCCAGGTCTTTTTGCCAAGGATGCATTGCTGCCTGTCCTGGCACAAACGGATCCAGCCCATCCACCAGAGTGTATGCTGGCTCCAAGGGGAGCCAGGAAGCCGGGACATTTTTCAACTTGTGAGTAAGCTTCCAGAGTCCACATGCCACTAGAGCCAGAACAAAAGGCAGGCCCAGTGGCAAAAATGTGAAGAGCAACAGATGTAACTCTTAGGATGGTATTCAACTAAAATTTACTCAGAAGAGACCCACTGAAATTAATACACCTAATGTAGTAATAGGGGACGCGGATGGCACTGTGGGTTAAACCACAGAGCCAAGGACTTTCCGATCAAAAGGTCGGCGGTTCGAATCCCCGCAACGGGGTGAACTCCCGTTGCTCGGTCCCTGCTCCTGCCAACCTAGCGGTTCGAAAGCACGTCAAAATGCAAGTAGATGAATAGGTACCGCTCCAGCGGGAAGGTAAACGGTGTTTCTGTGCACTGCTCTGGTTCGCCAGAAGCGGCTTAGTCATGCTGGCCACATGACCCAGAAGCTGTACGCCGGCTCCCTCGGCCAATAAAGCGAGACGAGCGCCACAGCCCCAGAGTCAGCCACGACTGGACCTAATGGTCAGGGGTCCCTTTACCTTTAATGTAGTAATGTTCTATACACACACTCCTCTATCCAGGCAAGGAAGTGGATAGAGGGTATCATAGTTCAAGGGTCGATGCCAGTCTGGCATAAGCACTTGAGAAGGATGTAGAAGAAGGCAGGTGAGGAGTATGGTCTGGTTAGAAAGGCCTGGACTGCTATATTTGTCTTCTGGGCCTGCAGTTCCTAACTTTTGTTCTGCACTAAGAATTGTTAGGCTTATTTTTTACCATAAACTTAGGTCTAGCTTTCAGACATCTAGGTATCTGTGCATATAATAAAAGCACAAAGTACAACCACCTTTACTAACCTGGCGCTCTGTAGATGTCTGCTGGCTAGGTCTGCTGGAAGTTGTAGTCCAAAACATCTGGAGAGCACTAGGTTGGCAAAGGCTGATGTATACCAATAATACTTGTTGTACTACTTTGTGAGTTGAGTGCAGTAGTGCTTGCATCTCTGTATCTCTTGTCCTTGTTACTGTCTTTGTATTTGGTCAGTAACTAATTACAGTGGTACCTCGGGTTACGAACTTAATTTGTTCCAGAGGTCCATTCTTAACCTGAAAATGTTCTTAACCTGAGGTAACACTTTAGCTAATGGGGCCTCCTGCCACCGTGTAATTTGTGTTCTCATCCTGGGACAAAGTTCTTAACCCGAGGTACGACTTCCAGGTTAGCGGAGTCTGTAACCCGAAGTGTTTGTAACCTGAGGTACAACTGTATTTAACAGGGAGCTAAGGGAGCTGACAGGGTGAGCTACAGGGCCTCAAACCGCTTACTCCCTCAAGAAATTAGCCACCGCCAAAGAGTTCTTTAGTCCTATCCTCTCCAATATTATTGTTATTTATTAATGATGATGATGTGCACAGCAACAGAGGCATTATCAAAGTCCTCCCCTTATGGACTTCAACTATGAGCTTTTTCCGTTCTAAGTACATATGATGTACACTCATTTTCCTACACATGCTTTCATAGCTTAGCCTTAACAAGGTTTACAGGGAAGTCTTGTGGCTTAATTGTCATGTTGGAAGTTTTACTGCTTGGTCTGCCCCCGGTTCACTCAGGAGCTTATTTGAATTCTGACTTGCTCCCAAGTAAGTATGCTTGGAATTGTAACCATAGTTTCATAGAGAGCAAAAAGTGATAATGGAGTGCATAAAACACTTTTTTAAAAAAATCTTTTATTGAACAAGTTTAACAAATCAAATTATAATTCAATATAACCAATTACATTTCCCCCTTTCCCCCTCCTCCCTCCCTCTCCCACCGTCCAAAGACTTACCTCAGCTCTCCTCTCTGATTTGTTTATACATGTTATTCTCTGCATGTTGTAAAATTGTACATATCATTGCCTTATCTATCATATATTCTGCTAATAAATTTGTGGATGTTTATTCAAAACCTGCCAAGGAGTCCAAATCCTTTTGTGGTCTCTTTAGATAGTTTGTAAAAAGTTCCCATTTTTCCTTGAAGTCACGGTTGTCCTCACATAGTTTATATGTTAACTTTGCCAACTCCGCATAGCTCATCAGTTTCTCTTGCCATTGTTCTTTCATTGGGTTTTCCTCGTTCTTCCATCCTTGTGCTAACAAGACTCTTGCCACTGTTGTAGCATACATAAATAAGCTCTTTATTTTTCTTGGCAGGTCTTGTCCTAAAATCCCTAACAAAAATGCTTCTGTTTTTTTACAAAAGTCATTTTAAACATTTTTTTCAATTCGTTATATATCATCTCCCAAAATTTTTAACCTCTCTACATTCCCACCACATATGATACAAGGTACCTTCTTTTTCTTTTCATTTCTAACATGTACTTGACCCAGTTTTGTACATTTTTGCCATTTTTACTGGTGTGATATACCATCTATACATCATTTTCATTTAGTTTTCTTTCAAAAGAGAACAGTCTGTAAATTTCAAATCTACCTTCCACAGCTTTTCCCAATCCTCAAATTGTATATTATGTCCTATATCTTGTGCCCATTTGATCATAACTGATTTGACCTCCTCGTCTTTTGTTTCCCATTCTAGCAGCATATTATATGCTTTCTTCAGCAGCTTCACTTCTTCTATAACCTTTTGAAATCTAGAGACTGTATAGCCAAACCTTTTTGTTATCTTCCTTGTACATCTCATATAATTGCCTGTAATGCAGCCAACTCTGAAAATGGTCTTTGATTTCCTCATAATCTTTTAATTTCCATTTTCCTTCTTGATATCTCAGTAAATCTCTATATGTAGGCCACTTCCCCTTTTTACCAAGCGGTTTGAGTAATGAAGCTTCAATTGGTGATAACCACCAAGGTGTTTTTGTTCTATTAAATCTTTATACCTCTCCCACATGATCTCCTGATTATATGATCCTTTATGTACTTTCCCTTTCCCATACCATAAGTATGCATGCCATCCATATTTGTTATCATGACATTCCAAATCTAATGCTTCTTTCTTTTCCAGTTTTATCCAGTCCCTAATCCAGATCAAACATGCAGCCTCATAATACAATTTGAGATCTGGGAGGGCAAAGCCTCCTCTTTCTTTTGTATCTGTAAGTATCTTACGTTTAATCCTTGGCCTTTTGCCCCCCAGACAAACTTGAAAATATCCTTTTGCCATCTTTTGAGGCAATCATCCTTAACCATTACTGGGACTGTCTGGAAAAGAAAGAGCATTTTTGGCAACATATTCATTTTTATCACTGCAATAGGGAAAGGTTCATTCATATTTCTAAATTTCTTTTTATCTCGGACCATAGTTTTTCATAATTGTCTTTATACACATTTATATTTCTTGCTGTTAACCATATCCCTAAATATTTTACTTTTTATGCATTTCTATCTCAATAAAGGTAAAGGTACCCCTGCCCGTATGGGCCAGTCTTGACAGACTCTAGGGTTGTGCGCTCATCTCACTCTATAGGCCGGGAGCCAGCGCTGTCCGGAGACACTTCCGGGTCACGTGGCCAGCGTGACAAGCTGCATCTGGCAAGCCAGCGCAGCACACGGAATGCCGTTTACCTTCCCGCTAGTAAGCGGTCCCTATTTATCTACTTGCACCCGAGGGTGCTTTCGAACTGCTAGGTTGGCAGGCGCTGGGACCGAGCGATGGGAGCGCACCCCCCCGCGGGGATTCGAACCGCCGACCTTTCAATCGGCAAGTCCTAGGCGCTGAGGCTTTAACCCACAGCGCCACCCGCGTCCCAAGTCTATCTCAATACTTTGCACCAAATCATTTTTCTCTTCTTCTTTTAAAATTTTAACTAATAACTTGCTTTTATTTCTATTTAATTTGAATCCTGCCACTCCCCCAAATTCTTGGGTTTTCTCTACTACTCTAGGGAGAGAGTTTTTTTGGATCTTCTACGGTAATTACTAGATCATCAGCGAAGGCTTTCAACTTAAATTCATTTTTTCCAGTTTTTATCCCTTTAATCTCTTTATTCGCTCTTATATTTCTTGCAAGTACTTCCAGAACCAGGATAAATAATAACGGTGATAGTGGGACCCTTGCCTAGTTCCTTTTTGTATTTTAGATTTATTCGTTATCACCTGATTTACAATTAACTTAATTAAGAGAAAGTATAAAAAGAACTTCAAAGAAGATGAGGAGGCATAGAGTAATCAAGAAAAAGATAAAAGGTGAGAAAAGAAAGTGACGTAATAGATGTTTATGGAGAGAGATGTTAGAACTGTAATGATCTAGAGTTGCCAAGACTTCTGCTCTGCAGGATTCTGGGCTGGATTTGGTGTGTGTGTGTGTGTGTGTGTGTGTGTATGGTTTTTTTGGGGGAGGGCTGCATCTATAGGTATATCTTGGTGGTGTTGGACAGGAAGAGGCCTCAGGAATTTCAGTCACATTGTTCCTGTTTTTGATGAAGAACTGGCTTCGGTGTAAATACTTTGTGGCTTAGCTGGTTTGTGGAATGCACTGCTGTTTTACAGATACACATATCCAGGAATGACCTCTAGCACCACCTTTAAAATTAAACTTATTGTGGATTTTAAAGTTAGAATAGGTAGCATAAAATAAAAATACCAGCAATGCCAATTCAGAGCTAATAACACAGATAGAAATATAAAACCCGGCAGATTTGTAATCTTGTGATTAAGAAAACGGCAGTGCCACAGGCACATTCTTTTCCTTAATATTATAATATATATTTGCTTGCACTGCAGTATACGATATTCATATATCCTGCAAGGCACTTACAAAATATATAGTAAGAAAGAAAACCAAATTACTAACGTGTGCCTGCTTTTTAATCACCAACAATAACGTGGAAGCAAAAGTGGTTTGAAATTAAGCTTAAAAAAAAATAGTTCAGAGAATGTTCTCTAACACCTGGATTTCTTAGAAGGAAATATTCCTTTGATGAGTCTCCCTAAAACCCAGGGCGCTTTCTTAGGTCGTTGCAGAGACTATCTACTCCAAGGCAATTTAACTCCTTGAACTTTGCTCTGCAATTATTTGGCTGTTTGCAAAGAACCTCCTCGCTTTCCCCGAGCCCTCCATCGAAAGAGCGAATGTGGTGGCGAAGGCATGGCAATATATAAATATGGGCATTACTTTTGCCCTGCCCTTGAAGCCGAGTCTAAAGAAAGAGGAGGAAGGCAACGAAAGCAAGGCAACGCAATGCCGCCCGTAAATATTGCGCCTCAGGAGACGGCGGGGCCACATTGACGAAGGGAGCACAAAGGCGAGCGCCTCAGAGCCTCGCGCTTCCGCTGTGTAGCCGGGAGGAGGAGAGCGGGAGAAGGTGGAGTTGGCGCCGGGACTTGGCTCCGCTCCCACCCAACCCTCGCCCTCGCCTCTTCCCTCCCTCAGCGACTCAGGAGCGTCTGCGCCGTTGAACTCTAGCTGCCCGCGCGCTATAAAGTTAAGGGCCGAGCCGAGGGCGAGCACTCCGCTCGGCTGAGGGGCGGAAGCGGCGAGCTTTTCCCGCTCTTTCCAGCCCTCTTTCTCCAGCCGCCTCCCTTTGGAGCCATGGCGTGCGTGGAAAGATGCCGCTGCTGCACGGGCAGCCGGCGGCAGAGCAGCATCCTCTACAACATCCTGAAAAGCGAGGAGCAGCGGCAGCAGCAGCGGCGGCAGGCGGGAAGCGAGCAGCCGCCTCCTCCTCCACCGCCGCCGCCGCCTCCTCCACCGCTTAGTCCGGGCGGGCACGCGGCGTGTCCCGGCTGCTCGTGCGGCTTGCAGAAGCGCGTGGCTTTGCAGAGCCCGCAGGTGGCGTGCAAGGCGGCTTCGGCGGTGCTGGTGAAGACGCTGCGCTTCGTCAAGAACGTGCCCAGCTTCCAGGAGCTGCCCCTGGACGAGCAGCTGGTGCTGGTGCGCAGCTCCTGGGCTCCGCTGCTGGTGCTGGGGCTGGCTCAGGACCGCGTGCACTTCGAAACGGTGGAGACCACCGAGCCCAGCATGCTGCAAAGGATCTTGACCGAGAAGCGGGCCGAAGAGCAGAGGCAGCAGCAGCAGCAGCTGCAGCACCGGCAACGGCGGCAGCCGCAGCACCATTTCCTGCTGCTGCACAAGACGCAGGAGAAGCTGGCGGCGGCGGCGGCGACCTGTGGCAGCAGCAGTAGCAGTAACAGCAGCAGCCCGAAGCTCCCGTCGGCAGAGGAGATCGAAGCCATCCAAAGCTTCCTGGGCAAGTGCTGGAGCCTGGACATTACCACCAAGGAGTACGCCTACCTCAAGGGGACGGTGCTCTTCAATCCGGGTAAGCGCGGGGAATTTGGCGGGAAAGAAGCGCGGGGAGTTGGGGGCGAGACATGGGTCACGGCTAGCTTCTCTTTCTACCCCCCGGCATTGCCATGTTAGCACAGACATCACCTGTTGGATTTCTTCAGCTGGTTTCCTCCTGCCAAGTAGCTACGAATAGCGCAGAAGCTCTGTTTAAAAAGCCTGATTTTTTTGGGGGGGGGGGGAGGGATAGGTGTCGTGGTAGTTGGTCCTGCCTTCTTGCCTTTATTTCTAAAGCTAAGAAAGTAGATACCTTGCTTGAACATCACCTCAGAAGGTGAATTAGTGTGATGGCAACTCAAGTTTTGTTTTGCTGAGACTCTGGAAAGTCTTAGAGCAGTGGTTCCCAACATTTTTTTTGGCCATGCTCTACCTCAGCATCTCTAAAATCCTGATGATCCAAACCACCCCCACCCCCGTGACATATAATTCTTATTATTCAAAAAGAACTCCTATTCAAGTGGAGGAAGACTAAAAGGCCATTAACTGTTAATAACTTGTTCTTGAATTGCCTCCCTTAAAAATCAAATTGCCCCCCTGCTCTGCATTGGGAACTGTAGTCTTCAAGGGTTTTCATTGCGCTAGCGACAGGCAGACTTGACAAGAAAGGGGAAAGGGTCAGAACTCTCTCTACCTGTTCTGTTCAAGGAAATTTCCCCCAAAACATGGGCTATGAAATATCCTCGGAAAGTAACAAAAGTGCAATAAAGCATACTAGTAGGCTCGGCTTTTTGGGGAGAGAGAATAAAAACAGTTTCCATGTGCTCTTTTAGTTTCCTGTTGCTTAGCCTGGCTGAACAGCATCCAGTTTTATGTTCAGAAAAACAGACCGCACATGGAGTTTTTTTCCTGGATAAACCTGTTTAATGCTGGGCTGCAAAGCTAAGAACATCTTCATTTTGTCATCTCTCTTTCTCTCCTTCAGACTTGCTTATAAAACAGGGATTCTGAAAGACCCTCATGAGCAAAGTTTTTCTTGTCTAGAAACTCCCTGTACTGTGGTGTTTAAGGGTAGAGGGTGTTTTATTGTGTATTAAATATATAGATTCACTTAGGGACTGAATGATTGTACTGAATTGTAAGGAAACATGTTCAAATACCTCATTTTGAAACGTTCTAAAAAGTTATTTTCAGGGGAAATTGCTACTTTGACCATTAAACTAACACATCTAGTGGATACTAATAATTAACGTGTAATAATTTATACTAAATAAATAGTAATGTAGAAGAAAGGAGAAAGAAATGAAATTATTTGTAATTATAAAAGGGTCAAATGAATTAAGCACATTTTAAAAATGGTTTAAGAAGTCAGAACCAGAGATGCTGCCTTAAGGCATTAGAAAATATTTACATTACATTCAGAGCTTTTTTATTTGCATTGTAGAACCTTGGAAGTATGGCTGTCTGCAGTGCACATTTTAATATGAATGATACTGGCTGTCAACAGTTTGTGGGCAAGCCTTCTTTTCTCTCTTGCTCTCTCCCTACCATGCTATCTTTGTCAATTTGTGAACATTTTTATTTCTAAAAGCAGATTGGTGAGTTTTATAACTGATAGGTTTAGACATATTTGTTAGAGAAGTTAATAAATTTTGTAGAAAGTGTCATTTGTTCTTAGTAGTGGGTGGGCGTGTCCTCTGTTCCCTGAAATGAGCATGAAAAATTCCATTTTGTAAAAAGAAATAGAGTTGCAGACTTCACAACACATGCTTCATGTATTGTGTTTATATTCTTATAGTGGTATGATGACTATCAGACTTGTCTTGCTACTAAAAGTTCAGTGAAATACTTTTTTGTTCTCCGTTAATTCTGATTACTTTCCAGCCATTTTGCACAGTGGAGTAAGTCACTTCCAATTGTGTATATTACAGATAAAAAGGTATTATGAAGAGAGGACTTAATGTTCATGTGTTTTCTTTTTACCCTTCTAGATCTGCCTGGGCTGCAGTGTGTACAGTACATCCAGGGACTGCAGCAAGAAGCACAGCAAGCCCTAAATGAACATGTCAGAATGATTCACAGAGGGGACCAGACTAGATTTGCCAAACTGAATGCGGCTCTGTCTATGCTCGGATCTATTAATGCTAATGTTATTTCCGAACTTTTCTTTAGGCCTATCATTGGAACAGTGAATATGGATGACATGCTGTTGGAGATGCTTTGTGCAAAATTATGAAGCCATGTGTGAATTATAACTACATAATAGAGCAATCCAACATGAAATGTCCCACAACAGAGTAGTGTAAAGTATTGTAAAATAAACTAACTTATTGTTTTTACATAGATAGTATTTTTGTATTCAGTAATAAAATATTATTTGAGTGCTCTTAGCTCTTATTAAATACTCATACCTTGAAAAGTTCCAGCAACATATTGCAGCCCTTAAAAAAAGAAAGAACTGTGTAATCCAATGCATGTTACTTCTAAGTAAGCCCCATTGTGTTCAGTGGAGCCTACTCTGGGCAAGTGTGCATAGGATTTAAGCCACAAAGTGCAACTATACATGTTTACTTGAACTAAGTCCCACTATATAGTCAGTGGAACTTATTCCCAGGTAAGTGTGCATAGGATTTCAGTTTAGTTTCCAAAGCAGAGTGAATATTCTTTGGTATATCTTTAACTGAAACTTAGACAGATCCGTGTATTGTGTTCAAAATAGGAAGTCTCTCTTTTCCGTTATGTCATTCATTGTTATGATCCTATATTCTTGGAACGCATGCAAGACCAAATATGGTGTAATGTTCTACCTTTTCATATTTATCCTGACAAGTTATTTCATATTTTTTTTTACTTAAGGGACTTTGGATAGACTTTATTATATCAGGAGAGGTTGGAATCCCAAGAGCAGTGTTTGGATCAGGTCAATGGGTGAAGAAGATTGTTTTCACTACACAAGTTATTTTAAAGACATACTATTTGCATTTATGTAGACTGGGAAAAAGCCTGATATGTAAGTGTTGGCTGCAAGAGATTCAATACCATGTATATTTGAAGCTGGAACCAACTCTATCCTGTAAACACAGTAAATTGTAACAAAGTTGTAAGAATTGTAAATTAATGCAAACAATTTATTTTTTTTCTTGCATGTTGTCTACATAGGCTGAGTCATTTATCATAAACTTGTGGACAAAAGCATCCTTGAAATCAGTGGCGTTAATCTAAAAATTGAATCATTGTTGCAAGGATTATAATATTTATGCACTACTCTTACTTTGTCTTAAAAACATCACATGCTGTTTCTGTTTGCAAACAAATTTCCTTAATTCTATGTCAGTTTACATGGTGCGGTCACCTTCCAACACAAAACTTGATCATATACCAGTAATTGGTGAACCTTTTTCCAGGTTTCCAAACTACATTTGTACTTCCTATAAATACACCACAGTAAAGTCACTATAAGCTAGATGCAGTAATTAATGGATAGGGAACAAATAATGCATTAAAAATACTGCTATAGTTATGTCACATAGATACATGCTGCATATTGCTGTTCTGTGCTGCATCCAAATCTACTGAGTGGTTTTAGAAAAGGACTAAAGTTTCTGTTTGGAACAGAAAGAAAGAGAGAGAATGCAAAATGACTAAATTTTGTAACTAGGTACATTTGTGTAGGTGTGATAATAATAGAAAACCACTAGAATATGTACTGCAGGCCTGCAGAATATGTGACTCCTGAAACCAAATGTTCTCCATCAGCCATGGGTGTGTAACATGCAACCAGGGAAATAAAATGTTTGCTGACAGCTTGAGATCGGGGTGATTGAGCACGAGGAAGACTGATTTATATCTCACAAGTTTGACAGGCATTGATGAAAGTTTTTTTAATTGCGTACAAATGCACAAAGGTTAGGTAAATGTCCCTGTAATGAACATATGTTTTCTTATTAAATTTAGGGTTAGGGTCTAGCTCTGGATTTGTGTAGGGTTTACTCCTTAGCCTTTTCTTTTCCCAAAGACATCTCTCAAGGCAGCAGAGGTTTAGGAACAGTTTTTCTTCTAGATGGGCTACTTTCCCAGGTTGATAAGACCCATCTGCCCTATATTATGTTGCTGTTAATTAGACATCCTGAAACCTGGACAAAGTTCCTCCCAGCTAGCACATAGAACACTGTAATTAATATGCATATGTTGATAACTTGCTCTTATAATTTACCATTCCAGCAAGAAAGTGGCATGCAACATTTTATAATACAATAAATAGGAATTATAACCCTGGCATTGATGGGTTACAAAGGGGGAGATGGGGAGACATATTCACCTCTGTCCTATAACAGAAACTAATGAGTATAAGCTGACTTACACACAGATTGGGACCCTACACACACTTATCTGGAAGTCTGAAATATAATGAGCTTACTCTGGACTAGACATATATGGGTTTGTACTGTCGGCTACTCTGTGAAACTGGAATCTGCACACAGTAGGGTAGTGCTCTATGCCGCTAGCAAACATTGTGTTCATGGTTCCTGATGCTGGGCTATGAACCATACATGCAGCATATGGTCCCTGCAAATTGACATGATATTCAATATACACTTTTCTCATTAGTGCTATAAACATCTTGCAGTGCAGATGCCACTGTACGGTTGGCTGCAATCCAAACAGGTATGCTCGAGGGCTTGGATATTACCTTTTTCCCTTTGAATGGCAGAGCCCATATATCACAAACGGTATTGCAGTTGGTGTGCGCGCATGTAGGCTGTTGTTAAAGAAACTCAAGCCCAAACTTGCCATGGATACAGGGCACTCGTCATGCGGTTCTTTTCATCTTGGCCCTAGATGAATTCAATTATCTCTGGGCTGAGTCCATTGTCTCATGAAGCTCTGGTTTAAAAGATACAATGCACTACAGTAATACCATTATTAAATATAAAATACACTCTATACGCTCAAATCTAACAAATAGTAGACATCCATGCAGCTTGTAACAAAAGTTCACTTTAAAGTCTAATTCTTACTAAAGCAAGATTAATGCAATACAGCACATAGTTTGTCTTTTAAAATAGTAACACTTCCCTCCCTTGTTGCGGTCCTCATGAAAATTCCCCTGACCCATTCTGCAATTAGCTATGGATTCTGGGTGAGGGGAAATCACCCATTGACTTATTTAATTTGTTTGGCTTTGAAGGAATATACAGTACAGTGATACCTAGGGTTACATACGCTTCAGGTTACAGACTCCGCTAACCCAGAAATATTACCTCAGGTTAAGAACTTTGCTTCAGGATGAGAACAGAAACCGTGCTACGGCAGCAGCAGGAGGCCCCATTAGCTAAAGTGGTGCTTCAGGTTAAGAGCAGTTTCAGGTTAAGAACGGACCTTCGGAACGAATTAAGTACTTAACCCGAGGTACCACTGTAACTCCTTTCCCTGCATGCTGGGAGCCTTATGAAAATTGGCTCCATCTTCATTAAATAAGCAAAAACCACTGATGTGATTGCCAACTATGCATTTAGCATCACATGTAGTTAGGCTGTTACTTATGAAAATTATGTGACAACTAGCTTGGGGGAACTCCAACACCCCCCTCTCCAAACCACTAAGCTACCTCATGCATGGAGACTGTTGAAAAATGGGACAGATGCTATGCTAACAGAATCCCTATCCTGTTCTAAGCACCTACTGTAATTTCAGAAGAACACACTCACAACATGGCACAAAGGTGAATGGACTCGTCAGGGCAATAGAATCCTGGTAGACCACCATGCCATCCCTACATCCCTCAGACTGATCCTGCTTCTGCGCATAAAAACCAAGTGGACATTACTTAGACCAATTTACCACACAGACTTCATTCACTCTCTGTGACATGCACCAGGTAAGCATGTTCATAAATTGCTAGCAGTTTCAAATAAACTCCAGGTGATTTTTTAAAACACTACAATCAGCCCAGATGCTTGTAAATAATAATTAGAGAAAGTCCAGGGAACTTCCTCAAATGATGTGTTATTAAAAATGCCAGATTGTACAAACAGCTAACTCACCCAGAAATACCACCAGTGCAACCCAGTGCTAGGCAGGTATATTCAGAAGCAAGTCCACTGAATTCAATGGCATTTATTTCTAGGTAAGTATGTTCAAGATTGCAGCCTTCATGTATAATTCCAAACAACATATGAAGCATCCTGTAAAACTAATTGTGTAAAAGGATGACATAGAGAGGTTTGGAAAAATAACCCTGCCCAAGGACAGATGTACTTTTCTCTAACATCAGTTCTGAAATGTCAAAACAGAAATGCCTGGGATTTCTGATAAGTAAACCCTGCTTCCTTCTGATTCATTCTGGCTCCTTTTCAATTCTTTCCAGTTTCTGTCTCCCACACTGTCTTCTGACTCATGAACTCAAATTCTGAAAACTATGGCCTCTAATTTCCCACCAAATAATGTGGGAAAGGTCCTATACATCAGAGATGGCTAACCCTTGGGCCAACCCTCTGGCGTTCACATGCTAGCAGCCTGTGAAAACAGAATGCTGCCCAGCATTTGATCTGATCCAGCAGCGCTCTTATGATGCAGTAATCGCCCCACTTGGTCCTTTTTTCCACAACACTGAGATACAGAGTGGCTAGTGCTATGTTGCTTTCAGCACCCCCACCCATCCCTGCCATTGCTGCCAGCCTCTGCACAACATCTGGTAAGCAGGGGGCGGGGTCTACCAGGGTGGTACTGGATGATGGCATGAGGTGATACTTTGGCCACTGTGGTACTGTGTCTTCATACTCATAGCATCTATACTTTGGCAGATACCTTTTATTAGGTGTATACTGAAAAATGTTGATTTCTAAATAGTGTTTCCAGAGTACATTTTAGGCCTTTCAAGCTAAAGGTAACATCTTCACATGCTATTTAACAATCCTAGCCTCTATAGCCTTTGTTAGAAAACAGCTGTTGTACATTCTTCCAAACAGTGGCTGTCAAGGTTGAAACTAACATAATACCAGTGTCCTCCTTTTCTAATCACAAAGTTATTCACAGTAGAAGCGTGACATTTTTCCCCCTGTAAATAAATTTGAGATAGTTAAAAAGGGGAGTAATTTTTATAGAAAAGGCTTTTTGTGTCTTGCCATCTGCTTAAAAATAAATAAATAAAGTAGCTTATATGTTCAGGAAGCTTTTTCATTGGCTTTCAGATTTCTGTTAAACCTATGAGATGTAGATTGGTTAACATATCTTAAATGCAGAAGAATGTAGTTTCAGATATGATCCCAAAGGCGTTGCTGTGATTTTACAATAGCTATGTAACTAAGAAGCTCCACATAGTAACTAAAACATGAATAAAACTGCACCAATTATTCTGTGCATCTGAGGATGGGAGTACTTCATCTAGTGGATATTCTTGGTATTGCAGTTAATGTTTTAACATTTTTCAAGAAACCTCATGTGAAAAATGCTTACATTTCACACGCCACCCAAAGTGTTAGGTGATAAGTGGAGAAATATATTTGCTGCAGAAAAATTACACTGTAGATTACACATTACCCTATTATAAAAATTCATATGGAAGTAAAATATAAAATGGATTAGTTATGAGACTAGCTACCAGGTAATGTCCTTACAGAACACGACAATTCTTAAAAATATACAGCAAGGTAAACAAACTCTTTCTTACATGGTTTTTTAACATTAATTCATCCAAGTGAGATTTTGAGTTCTGCCAAACTCCTGGAGAATAAATCTTCATGCCACAAAGTATATGTAGAGGCACATCCTGGTACACACATAAGTTGGCTGTTGTTTGTGTGTCTGAGACAAAAGCACCATAAAGCTGAATGGAGTTCATAAACACGCCCCCCCCCCGCTACCTTACAATACTGTGTCTTTATTAATTAAATAATAAATAAGAACACAGAGGGCCCCCTGAACCTAAGCACTTTGGTAGCAGCTGTCAGAGCTGAGCGATGTGTAGCAGGTTTGAGATGAGCTGGGAACTGGGAGCCCTGGGACAAGCCAGTAGTCAGGGATGAAGAGGAACTAAGAACCAAAGGACAAACCAGGAAGCAGGAGCAAGCCAGAAGTTAGGCCTGAAAAGCAACCAAGGAACACATCGGAGGACAACTTTGTCGCTCAAGGAAGGATTAACTGCAATCCTCTTGTACTAGTTCCAGTCTAGGAGGAACCAGTGGCCAACTGGTGTGGACAGGGTCAGTCCAGGACTTGAGAAGCTCCCACCTGAAGTTGTTGTTGCTATTATTATTACATTTATTATCTGTCCTTCACCAGGTCACAGAACTTAGTGGTTTATCACATGGGACAGCTGTCCACAGACCCCAGCAGCTCTTGACAAAAGCAATGCAGTGTTGACAGTGACAAGCAACATCTGCATTCACATGCAACACACAAGCAAGTTTATTATATATTTAATAATAATAATGATTCTCCAGCATACTGCAGGGTTCATTCTTTCTGCTACCCCATCCCATTCTGGTTCCTTCTTCCATTATGGTGCCCAGTACACTTTACTAAATAGGAGGCATGATGATTAGGACAAGGTAGAATTTTGTTTGTGTAATCAAACGACAGTGATATGGAAAGTATTTATGAGCAACTAGTACATCTAGTCACTAGTACGTATTAGCAACTGATCTTCCTTTGCATTGTTGCTCGTGTCTACAGCATTTTTCTGTATTATGTGCTTTCTCCAATAAGTATGCATTCCTAGGGAATTTAAACAGAGAAAAAAAGATGTATGAATGCACCTCCTATTTAATTCATGCTGTTTTCTGACACAACATTCAATCCTCTTCTGCAATGTGTGTCAAGTGGACTTCAGGCTTCTGGATCACAAATGCTTTTCAAAAACCAAGGGACAAATAAAAAGAAAAGATTTATTTAGAATAAAAAACTGTAACTCCTGCAGTACAGCAAATAAATCCTAAGCAGACTGCAAAAAGCTCCACAGGTATTTCTTCAAACTGCTGGCCTAACTAGGTGTTAAAGAGGACCCACAGCTGCCACTAATTCAACATGTCCCTTCGTGTGCTTCAGTAATGTCTAGAAAAATGTCACATATATAGTACACCCAAAACTGTTAAAGCACATGACTTTTCTCAAAGAATCATGGGAACTGTAGTTTGTTGGAAACTGTAGCTTGGTGAGGGTGAAACTAGTCCCTAGGTTCTGGGATGGGGGAATCATGAGCGAACAGAAATTGCAGCAGGCTGCAACAGTCAAACACTTAATTGTGGCTGTGTTGTGTAGTTCAGACGCTACTAGCCCTTCATGCTGTTCTATTTCCACAATGAGCTACTTGGAGAGAATCACAAGATGTGTAAGCAACTCCTGTAAGCAGGCTGCTAGAAACAAGTTCAACACTCAGTAGCAAAAAGCCCACCCCTTTTTTTCATTGCTCGTATTCCTTTCAAAAACAGTTTGCTATTACTGAAGTGTCCAGAGTCAGCAAAATCTTTTATTTCTGCCAGATAAACAAGCTTTCTCCTGCCCTTCTGCGTCTTTCCTGTTTGTGTGTCACGCACTTTCTCCTCCCGTCTGATTTCTCGACTCTCTCCCTTTAGTTCCACACGTTGATTCAGTGTCGGAGGTTGTGCTAAGCCGAGCAGAGCAGGTTCGGTTACGGGGAAAGTCCTTGCCAAAGCCTGAACAACTTTTTTGTTTTTGCCTCCCCGTCCTGCATTTTTGGTACAGACGTCTCTGAGGGAGCTGGGATTGTGAGTATTCACTTTTAACTATAATTGAATGGGAGGGCATATTGCAGCTGAGTTTACTGTACTAAGAGCTTTTTGCAGCTGAGGGGAGTGTATATCTACTTGTGCCATTAAGTGAAAACGTAAGATTATTATTTTATTTTTTATTATGTATTCAATTTGTCTACCACCCACACCTGTAGGTCTCAGGGTGGTTCACAACACAAAAGTTGCAATATACGAAGCACAAAATACATAATAAAAATAAACAAAACAATTAACAATGCTTATGTGTATACACACTAACAAACTCTATGTTCCTCAACGAAAGCCCCTAAATCCAAAAATCCTAATGAGTATATGATATTTTACAACAATTTAAAACAACCCCACCCTCCAGATAAAAGAGCACCCACCCAAGTTAAAACCTCAGCTTGCTCAGAAAATAATTTTAACACAAGGGAAGAAGAGGCCCACTGGGTCAGACCAAAGGCCCAACTAGCCCAGCACTTTGTTTCCCATAACAGCCAACACATACCCCTAAACATTTTGTGAATCTAAGTTCTGCCTCATTGAGGGGCAGTATTTCAATATGAGTAGGAAAATGAGAGTACCCCTAAACATTTTTTTAGAAAAAAAGCAGTGCCTGAAACTACCGTATTTTGCGCCCCATAGGACGCTCCGGCCCATAGGACGCACCTAGTTTTTTGGGGGGGAAATAAAGAAATTTTTTTTTATTTCCCCCCCCAGGTGCGGGGCTGGAAGAACCAGGTCGGGGAACAGCGGGAAGGCGCGCTCTGCCTCCCCGCTGTCCCCCGAGCTTGTGGGGCTGGCGATGGGGAGAAGTGCGCTGATCCCGGGACTGCAGGCAGCTCTGCGCGACCATCCGGAGCGGGGCGGGACTTCGCGCCCGGCTCCCGGTGGCTGCGCAGAGCTGCGCTGAGCCGGGGACTGCAGGCAGCTCTGTGAGGCCATCCGGAGCGGGGCGGGACTTTGCGCCCGGCTCCCGGTGGCCGCGCAGAGCTGCGCTGATCCCGGGACTGCAGGCAGCTCTGCGCGGCCATCGGGAGTGGGGCG